TCCCTATACATTAAATGACCTTCCAAATGCATTGCAATACTCAAACCCCACACTATTTGCAGATGACACTACATACGTCTTCTCTCAGACCCGAGCCCATCCGCTATGCCAATACTGTAAATACCGAATACAGAAAAATGATCTAATCTACCTGAATGAGGACTAACAAACTTACACTAAACATTGACAAAACCTACTTCATTCGAGTTTGGTACAGTAGCTACAGAAGTCCCTCTTAACAATAATGATAAATGGTATCACCTATTCACAAAGCTAACAGAGGGAAAATTCTTAGGAATCCATCTTGATAATAGACTCAAATTTCAATACACAAATCAACAAATTATCCTAAGAAATTTTTCCCAAGACTGTAGGCATACAATCGAAGATACGGTACTATGTTCCACAGTCAGGCCCCCTGTCTCTATATCACTCTCTTATTTTACCCCCTATCCCACCAATGGAATTTGGTGCAATGGGGCTCCACAACAATTACCAGCACAGACCACTAATTACCTCAACAAAAGGCTGCAGTAGAATATCAAAATTCTCACTACAGCAGCACCACATCTGTCCACCAATATTCAATACACAAAACCTACTCACCATACAAACCAATCCATACTTATTACTGCACCTATTTACATACATAGAACACTTACCTTCCTGAAATATAACCCTCCCCTCAAAACATCTCCTTGGCCAACCTCATAGAAAACATGACCAAACACAAGGCACGAGATCACTCTTTGATGTCCTCGTGTCCATCTCACACTATGCAAAAACTCAATGCACATAAAAGCGGTCCCTAAAATCTGGAATTCATTAATCCTGTAAATATAAAAAGAAACACTACCTGTTTATAATTCAAGTCTCTTCACAAGATCACTTACTCACCCAAAACCAAATAAATACTGAATAACTGAACCTTATAAATTGTATATCTTACATGTTTCTCACAATTATATCACACTAAATGTTAAACCTAAAACCCAATCTAACTTTATTTATAAATACAACTACCTAACAGAATACTCCATATGACTGAATGTACAACAATGCATGCAATCATATGACCTGTCTTTGTAATACTCATTTCTGCTTTATAGTTATCTGTTTACAATAATGTATTATCACTGATTTCATCATTGCTTAGTTAATTTTAAGCCAGCCCGTAATGCTATGCATAGTATAAGTGGCTTTGGCATGCTGCTCTTATCTGTATTTTTTTGTACCTCTGTATGTATGCTCAAATTGTAAATAAATAAATAAATAAATAAATAAATAATGTTGATATTAGCATAATAATAAAGCATATTTCCCTGCATCACGAGACTGAGCTCATGGCAACCGACAGTGGCTTCAAAGCCACCTTATCTTTTATGGACAGTGTACTGTGCATATGCTTTACACAATGAGAAGCATTTCTTTTATTCATTGGAACCATGGCTTGGGCTAAAAGTAAGCAGGTTATAACAATAAATGAAGAAAAGGAAATTGGAATAACTTATGCAGCAAGTAGCGCCACCAAACAGTACCAGCAGGTTGGTGTGGCGACCCTGGAAATTTGAAATTATGCTAGCTGAAATTAGTGCCGGATTACTGATGGAACCAGATGACTGATTGCCGGATTAGTGAGGGCCAACCTGTAGTACATTCCTCTCCCCTGACAGTCCATTAGTGAGAGGTTTCACTGTAATTATAGTATTAACTTTCATTTCAGGTATAGTATTATTTTAAAACAGTATTAAATAATTAAAGACTGTAAATCCTTTGTGCACCTGGAGAAGATAGAAGTGTAGAGGAGAGAGAGAGATTTTGGGAAATGTTGAGTGAATGCGTGGGGAGTTTTGAATCAAGTGTGAGAGTACTGGTGGTTGGGGATTTCAATGCTTAAGTGGGTAAAAATGTTATGGAGGGAGTAGTAGGTAAGTTTGGGGTGCCAGGGGTAAATGTAAATGGGGAGCCTTTAATTGAGCTATGTGTAGAAAGAGATTTGAAATAAGTAATACAAATTTTATGAAAAAAGAGGATAAATAAATTATACAAGGGTACATGAAGCACGTAATGAAAGTATTTATTATAATTATGTGTTGGTGGAATAAAAGGTTGATGGTAAGGACTTCCAGATGTATATGTTTATAGAGGGGCAACTGATAGAATCGGATCATTATTTAGTGTGTAGCTACAGTTAGAGTAAGAGGTATAATGGGAAAAGAGGAAGGTGGGGCAACAACAAGTAAGAGGGAGGTGAAAGTGTATAAACTAAGTAAGGGAGGAGAATTCGGGAGAGATATAGAGCGACTATTGCAAGAAAGGTGGGCTCTGTGCAAAGATGAAGTATGGGGGGTTGAAGAGGGTTTGAATAGTTTTAAAAATGCAGTATTAGAATGTGGGCAGAGGGAGTTTGTGGTTAAAGAGGGTGGGGGCAGGAGTGAAAGAGGGAGAGGTTGGTGGAATGAATGAAGTAAAGGGTGTAATAAAAGAGAAAAAGGTAGTCTTATGAGATGTTTTTACAAAGCAGAAGTGTTAAGAAGGAAGAGCCAGAGTATATGTAGAGTAAAAAGAAAGGTGAAAGAAGTGTAGAGAGTGCACAAAAAAGGAGAGCAGATGAAAGAGTGGGAGAGGCACTGTCAAAGAATTTTAATGAAAATAATAAAAATTTTTGGAGTGAGTAAACAGTTAAGAAGCCTATAAAAAGTATGGATACTGTCAGTTTAAAAACAGAGTAGGGGAGTTAGTAGATGTGGGAGATGGAGGTATAAGGTAGATTGGTGAGAATATTTGAGGAACTTTTAAATGTTAAGGAAGAAACAGAGCAGTAATTTCATGCACTGGTCAGGGGAGGTATACCCATCTTTTAGGAGTGAAGAAGCAGAATGTAAGTGTGGGGGAGGTACGTGAGCATTAGCGTAAATGAAAGGGGGTAAAAGCAGCTGAACAGATGGGATCATGACAGAAATGTTAAAAGCAGGGGTGGGGGGATACAGTGATGGAGTGGTTGGTACTTTTGTTTAAATAATGTATGAAAGAGGGGAAGTGAACCTATGGATTGGCGGAGAGCCATTTTTATATAAATGAAAGGGACAAAAGAGACTCAAAAATGAATAGAGGAATAAGTTTACTGAGTATACCAGGAAATAGTGTATGGAAAGGTTATAATTGAAAGAATTAGAGGTAAGACAGAATGTAGGATTGCGGTTTGAGAAAGGAGGTTTCAAATTGGGTAGGGGATGTGTAGATCAAGTGTTTTACATTGAAGCATATATGTGAACAGTATTTAGATAAAGGTGGGGAAGTTTTTACTGCATTTATGGTTTAGAAAAGGCATATGAGAGTGGATAGAGGAGCAATGTGGCAGATGTTGCAAGTATATGGTATAGGTGGTAAGTTACTAAAAGCTGTAAAGAGCTTTTATGAGGATAGTGAGGCTCAGGTTAGGGTGTGTAGAAGAGAGGGAGACCTACTTTCCCGGTAAAAGTTAGTTTTTAGACAGGGATGTGTAATGTCACCATGGTTGTTTAATTTATTTATAGATGGGGTTGGTAAAGGAAGTAATGCTAGGGTTGTTCGGGAGAGGGATGGGATTAAAATTTTGGGGATCAATTCAAATGGGAATTGACACAGTTTACTTTTTGCTGATAACTGTGCTTATGGGAGATTCTAAAGAAAAATTGCAAAGGTTAGTGGATGAGTTTGGGAGTGTGTGTAAAGGTAGAAAGTTGAAAGTGAACATAGAAAAGAGTAAGGTGATGAGGGTGTCAAATGATTTAGATAAAGAAAAATTGGATATCAAATTGGGGAGGAGGAGTATGGAAGAAGTGAATGTTTTCAGATACTTGGGAGTTGACGTGTCGGCGGATGGATTTATGAAGGATGAGGTTAATCATAGAATTGAATGAGGGAAAAAAGGTGAGTGGTGCGTTGAGGTATATGTGGAGTCAAAAAACGTTATCTATGGAGGCAAAGAAGGGAATGTATGAAAGTATAGTAGTACCAACACTCTTATAGGGGTGTGAAGCTTGGGTGGTAAATTGCAGCAGCGAGGAGATGGTTGGAGGCAGTGGAGATGTCCTGTTTAAGGGCAAATGTGTGGTGTAAATATTATGCAGAAAATTTGGAGTGTGGAAATTAGGAAAAGGTTGTGGAGTTAATAAAAGTATTAGTTAGAGGGCAGAAGAGGGGTTTGTTGAGGTGGTTTGGTCATTTAGAGAGGAATGGATCAAAGTAGAATGACATGGAAAGCATATAAATCTATAGGGGAAGGAAGGCGGGGTAGGGGTCGTCCTCGAAAGGGTTGGAGAGAGGGGGTAGAGGTGGTTTTGTGGGCAAGGGGCTTGGACTTCCAGCGTGCGTGTGTTAGATAGGAGTGAATGGATACGAATGGTACTTGGGACCTGACGATCTGTTGGAGTGTGAGCAGGGTAATATTTAGTGAAGGGATTCAGGGAAACCGGTTATTTTCATATAGTCGGACTTGAGTCCTGGAAATGGGAAGTACAATGCCTGCACTTTAAAGGAAGGGTTTTGGGATATTGGCAGTTTGGAGGGATATGTTGTGTATCTTTATACGTATATGCTTCTAAACTGTTCTATTCTGAGCACCTCTGCAAAAACAGTGATAATGTGCGAGTGTGGTGAAAGTGTTGAATGATGATGAAAGTATTTTCTTTTTGGGGATTTTCTTTCTTTTTTGAGTCACCCTGCCTCGGTGGGAGACGGTCAACTTGTTGAAAAAAAAAAAAAAAATCCTTTATTTAACATACCCTGCTTTAACAGATTTTGGATTTATCTGACAAAATTTTTGGCCAGATGCCACTCAGAAGTAATGGACAGAGTCTTCTATATCCAGAATTGTATGTTATTGTTTTGATCACAATAATTTCATTCAAATTTAATGGATTAATCAGATTTAATGAACCCTCTCTTTCCCAATTAGTCTGTTAAATCAAGGTTTCACTGTAAATCTTATTTCTGTCTTACAGATCAGTCATTAGTACCTGAAGACAACATCCTGAACCTCAGTGAGAGTGACACCAACACTCTGCAGGAAGAGGTGAATCACTTGTCCACCCACTGGAACACTCGCACCAGAATCCATGCCGCTCAGAGAGAAACTCAGATGCATCTGGTGGGGGTGGTGATGTGGGAGGGAGGGAGGTAGTAGTTAAAACTAGGCAATCATGCTTATCATTCATTCAAATAAAAAATATTCATATAAAAATAAACAAACATTTTTTAATTTTAAAGCAATATACATTGGAACTTCAGTGTTTGGCACTATTTTATTCAAAGGCGAGCTCTAAACCCATAGGGATTATGCAGCACCTGAGCAATAAGGAGGAACCAGGTTTGATCCATGGAAGGAAAGGAGCACACTTCCTCAGAATCTCAGATGGTGTCAGGAAGTTTGAACAATGATTATTTTCTTGACTGGTTATACTAATTTTAATCATATTTTCATGATAATTCACAACTCTTGAAAAAACTGACCATCAGATTACTGTATTGATATGAAATATTAAAAATAATTATCAACATTTTAATTTTCTTACCAATAATGTCAGTTGCTAAATTTATTGCTGTACCCAGTCATTCCTGCCTTTGTATGCAATTAAGAGACAGGAGCAGCAAAAAGATATTTTTATTATGCAGACTATTTACCTACTGGGACCTTTTCAGTTCAATGGATTGACAAAGTTCTTAAAAAAGCATTTCTTTTAATAAAAATGTCCTAGTGGTGTGCATGCATCTTAACTGCATACATATTTGTCAATATTAAGATACCCCTCTTACAGCCATTCCTACCTTAATGGGAGAGAGATGCAAGTGATCAAAGAAATCTCTCTGTCCACCTGTTGACTGACTCTTCACTGTTGTTGTTAGAGTTTCATGAACAATACAAGCATCATGTTCATACTTTTCTGGCTGAAAAATAAATAATTTTTAGTCAATTTTAAAGTTTCCTCATTTTTGTTTTGACAATAAATACACGGTGCCCCATGGCCTGGTGGCAAAAATTCTCTCTTCGCATGGTGAGGGTCCAGGTTCAATTCCCCGTGAGGGTCGAAACATTGGGTGTGTTTCCTTACACCAGTTGTCTATGTTTGCCAATTAGTAAAAAATGAGTCCCTGGGTATTAGTAGACTGGTGTGGGTCACATCCTGAGACAAAATTGACCTAATTTGCCCAAAATGCTCTGCAGAACAAGTGGCTTTCTATATAGTAGTACACATGTCAGTGATGTCAGCTAGGACTGTATACCTTGTACATGCACTTGTAGAAATGAAGATATATTATATTAAGTGAAACTTAAAGCTTATTTTAGTGGGTAAGGTACAACCTTATACTACACTTGTGTGTTTTTGAACTGTTCTAAAATTTTCACCCTTAAGTACTTCATCAATTTAAATTACATTAAAATTAAGTTTCTCCATGGCAACAAGAATAATTCTTCTTCTATGAGCCATGCATGTTGTAATAGGCAAATAAAATGCCAGAAGCAATGGGCTAGTAACCATATGATATGTGGTCCAATTCCCTCTCAAAGTGGGAAAGAAGTTGATATTGATTCAGTGGAAAATGTACTGGTTACAAGGATAACCGCTGATCATGTACCACAGCAAAAATTATCATTACTGGAAGAAATGAATGAACCAGTTGATAAGTTGTGGGATTTAGATGCGATAGGTCCTTCTTTTCTTTCAACGCACCAGCCGTATCCCACTGAGGTGGGGTGGTCCAAAAGGAAAAACGAAAGTTTCTCCTTTTAAATTTAGTAATATATACAGGAGAAGGGGTTACTAGCCCCTTGCTCCTGGCATTTTAGTCGTCTCTTACAACATGCATGGCTTACGGAGGAAGAATTCTGTTCCACTTCCCCATGGAGAAGATGCAATAGGTATTGATGTAAATAAACCAAGCCCACAAAAGTCTCAGACTTATAACCAATATTTGGACACTGTCATATATGACGATGGACAGTACATACTGGGTTAGGTTACATGGAAATTAAATCCATCACATCTGCCTAGCAATTATTGCATGGCTTTCACACAAATGAAAGCACAAATATATGAGCTTAGGAAGAATCCAGAGCTACTGACTGTATGATAACATCATACAAGAACAGTTAGACAATAAATTCATTGAAAAAGTAGTTGAAGACAAGTTGAAGACAGAAGCTCATTATCTTCTGCACCACGGAGTCAGAAAAGATTCTGAAACCACTCCACTATGTGTTGTATACAATTGCAGCGCACGTTCAAATAAAGATGTAGCAAGTCTGATGACTGTCTGATGACTGGACCCTCACTGAGAAGCTTGGAGACGTGCTTATGAAATTTCGCACAAACCCACATGCCTACACGGCTGATATTTCCTAAGGTTTCCTAAGCCTTTGACTGTCGCAAGCCCCTTTCTGAAACTGTCATTCTGTCGCAAAATTTTTGGAAAAAAAAAAAAAAAAATTATTTTTTCTTATGAAATGACAGAGAATCTTTTCCCGATAGTAATGACACCAAAAGTATGAAATTTGGTCAGAAACTCACGGAATTATGCTCCAGTGAAGGTAGCGATCTCAGCGACAGATACGTATCAGCGATTTCGCCGACTTTGAGCCCTGTTTTTGGCCGATTCTGTTTTTCCAGTTGACCAAACTCATAGCTATTTCTTTAGAACTCCATTTTTTCTATCAACTGAGTACAAGAAACTGCCCATTTACCGATTTGAACTACCCAATAAAGTGGTCAGAAATTGGCAATTTGGCCAATTTCACACAAATTAAAAAAGATGCCAATTTCAAAATAGGGTCCAGAATAAACAATGTAGACATTCTTGGCACTAAAATAACATATCCTCTGTTCACTAGTCACATCTCTAGGCCCCTCTTACATTACTATTGCTTTCTATTTTGATTTTTTATTCATACAAACAATACAAAATTTACTGTTATGCAGACTACTGCATTATTGTAAAAATGGTATAAATAATATCAGTGCACTAGTGAAAGAATATTAGACTTCCCAGTTGACGTGTATTGGACGTGTGGTGTGATTTGCTTACTCTTGAACACTGGTAAAACTCGAATATTTCCGCTACTTTGAGCTCAACTTCAAGGTCGTTTTCATCGTGAAACTAATCAAAATCATCTCTATTTCTGCAACATGTTTTCCATTTTATCACATGAGACCATGAAAACGAGAATACAACGATAAATACTATATGAAAATACACCTCAAAGTCGGCGTTTTAATCCAAAAAACGGTCAGTTTTTTTCTCATGCACTGCATGCTGCAAAATTTTTATGTGGTGCACACTGACCACACAGACCCATTCTCTCAAATGTGGGCCTACTAGCTTTCTACTGCTTGATTTGAAGCCGCTAGAATTATTGAGTATATATACGTCCAAAATTGAGGTAGTAGGTTGGAAGACAGCAACCGCCCAGGGAGGTACTACCGTCCTGCCAAGCGAGTGTAAAACGAAAGCCTGTAATTGTTTTACGTGATGGTAGGATTGATGGTGTCCTTTTTTGTCTCAAACAGGCAAGGTTTTCAGGTAAGTAAGTCTTGCTACTTCTACTTACACTTAGGTCACACTACACATACATGTACAAGCATATGTATACACACCCCTCTGGGTTTCCTTCTATTTTCTTTCTAGTTCTTGTTCTTGTTTATTTCCTTTACCTCCATGGAAAGTGGAACAGAATTCTTCCTCCATAAGCCATGCGTGTTGTAAGAGGCGACTAAAATGCCAGGAGCAAGGGGCTAGTAACCCCTTTTCCTGTTTATATTACTAAATGTAAAAGGAGAAACTTTCGTTTTCCTTTTGGGCCACCCGCCTTGGTGGGATACAGCCGGTGTGTTGAAAGAAAGAATATGTCCAAAACAACTGGCTCGTAAGACGTATATTACGACCAAAACAGTCAAAGGGTTAAGAGTCAGACTACAAGAAATAGATAGAGATTATACTCAATTCTTGTGGCCTGAAAATCCATGTGATCCTCAAAGTCCTGTGAAAACTTATCGTTTCAAGTCAGTATTATTTGGTACAACATCCTACTCTAAATACACATTTGAAGAAATCTGTAAGTTCCTTCAAAGAAATCTTAAAGAAAAGTTTCTATGTGGGCAATTTTCAAGGTACTGTGAATAAAGAGGATGATTTGAAATCCTTATATAGAGAAGCTAACAAGGAAATGAAAGAAGCAAATATGCCTCTAAGGATGTGGAATGCTAATTCAACTTAATTAACCCTTTGACTGTTTCGGTTGTATATATACATCTTATGAGCCACCGTGTTTGACGAATATATACTCAAATATTCTAGCGGCTTCAAATCAAGCAGGAGAAAGCTGGTAGGCCCACATGTGGGAGAATGGGTCCGTGTAGTCAGTGTGCACCATATAAAAAAAATCCTGCAGCACGCAGTGCATGAGAAAAAAAACTCCGTTTTTGGATTAAAACGCCGACTTTGTGGTGTATTTTCATAGTTTTTATTTTTTGTTTTCTCGTTTTTTTGGTTTCTCATTTGATAAAATGGAAAAAAAATTATAAAAATTGGGTGTTTTTGTTTTGGTTTTACTGTTGGAAAAAAACTAAAAATAGAGCTAAAATTGGGGGAAATTTTTGTTTTTTGCCGATTTTCCCAAAAGTAAAAAAAATGTTTGTCATTGTCAGCTAGCCATTTTGATATGCGGGCATGAATGGGTTAAATTTATTTTTACAATTTTTTACAATATTGCAGAAGTTGCAAAAAGTTTTTTTTAAATTTTTTGTCTAAAATAAAAATTAAAAATGGGAAAGCGAGAGTATATCGGGAGGGGCCTGGAGAAATGATGATAAAACAAAGAAAATGTTTTTTTTATACCCAAAAATTTTCCCGGATTGGTCATTCTGGCCCTTTTTAAAATTTTGGGCCCTTTTTTTTTAATTTGCCAAAATTTGGCCAAATAGAAATTTTTTCTGCCACGTTACTGAGTATTTTGCATTAGAAAATGGGTAGTTTCTTGTACTCGGTGATAGAAAAAAATGGAGTTCAAAAGAAATAGCTATGGTTTGACCCAAGGAAAAACAATGGAATTAGCTAAAAAAAGGGCCCTCAAAGTGGTGTGAAAATTGGATTCGTAAATATGCCCAAAGGGCCCCTAACTTCGCGGGGGAGCATAATTCTGTAAGTTTTCCCTCAAATTTTGTTCCTTTTTTGGGGTTTATTACCCTTGGGGAAAAAATTTTTCTATCATTCATAAGATTTAATTTTTTTTTTTTTTTTTTTTTTTTTTTTTTTTTTTTTAAAAAATTTTCGGGCACCCGGAGGGCACCCCAGGGGTTTGGGGTTGCGAAAGTCAAAGGGGGGTTTTAAAGGGGAAAATTTTCCCCTGATGATTTCCTGAAACTGATAAATTTCCCGATAGAAAAAGCTTGGATTTAATTGGGAAAAAACTCCCGGAAAAACACTTTGGGTCTCAAAAAGGTTAAACAATAAAAACAAAACGTACATCACCAAACGAAATTTACTGTTTGAGTTTTTCACAATGTTTTGATCCCTAGGCCCGTCTGCCAAAATTTCCCCAAAGGGTTAAAAAAACTTATGCAACCCGGGAGGGGAAGGGTCAAAATAGGGGGGGATTGAGAAATTGCCTTGAAATGAGGGCGATGGGATGAAAAACCCAAAGGGGTTTAAATAACTTTATCAAATTAAATTTTCCCCGACAAATAGGTAAGAGGGAAACAAGACAAAATTAATAGTTCTGTAATGTATCAAACCCGAGGTTAAGACAATGTAGCTTTAAAGAGTAATACTGAAGGGAAATACACTAAAATTTTTCAAAAAGGGCCCGGGTAGCACCCTTGAAGGGCAGAACAGTACCACAGCTGGAACTAGCAACAATATGTTGGTACAAAAATTTGCTGTTATTTCAAGAA